TAGGGTAGGGCCATCCTGCTGCCATCGCTGCTGGCTGCCCATGTTCCACATCCTGGTCCAGCTGCCCTCCTGCTCCCACGCGGTCAGAGTCAGCCAAGAGCTCCCTAAACTTCTGCTTTTAAGTAGCCAGCAGCACATGTCCCTGAGACATGTCTTAGCTCCTGATTCAAGGCTTGGTGTAATCAGCCTCTTAAAGTAAAATCCTTGTACGAATGTAGGCTGTTCCCTGTACCAGGAGAAAGTACCGTACTTCTTCTGTTTCTGCTAATGGGGAAATTAAAAATTCATAATTCCAGGTGGAGCTTCATTCAGCCTTCTAAAATGGCGAGTCTATAAGGACAGAATGCTTAATAGACTCTCTAAACGGCCTTGGAGAGAGGAGCTTTGCTTGGCCCCCCTGCCATTAAAGCACTTCATGCCTTCCCATATGGAGCAGTGCCCATCCCAAGTCCAATAATTCCCTTCAAGAAAGCGAAGCTACCATATTAAAAAAAAAAAATAAAATAAAGTTGGTTACATTTTAAAGTACTTCTTGAAGCCAAAGAAAAATTCAAACTAAATTGACAAAAGGCTATCAGGAAGCTTTCAAACAGCCAGGCTGCTGTGGAATCATTTAATCTGGTATTAAAGCCCTGATTCGTGTGAACTGCTCCTTCCTCTCCAGATTTGAGGCCTCCATGTACAGTAATGCAATTTCCTCCTGGGCTTGGCTGCTATTGTGGTCCCAGCCGTGGGAACTAGGCAGGGTAGTCAAGCCAAATTACCCGCTTTAATGAAATCCTGTCTTTGGGAAGTGTTCAGAGCCAGTGGGTGAAACCCTGCTGTCGCCAGGGACTTCCCCACAGTTGGTGCTGGGGATGGAGCAGTGAGCTCCTGCACTGGCCTCACTCTTCTTCCTTGCTGCTGTGTTGGGGGTAGAAGTTCCTGGCTAACAGGCCCCCCGTTCCCTGGGGGCAGCATGTAGTGGGACTGTACCTCCATCCTCTCCTTTTGCCCGTAAAATCTCCTAGGGTGAAGGCAGATTGCTGCCTGCATGACTCAGTCTGGATATTTTGTTATTCTTCCTCATTAAATTGAAAGTGCAAAGAGGTAACACCAAATGCAATGTGTTCTCATCCCTGTCTGGCATCAGCTGGGGTGCTGCTGGTTTGGTGTTGGGTATGTGGGACTGTGTGAGCTGGCTCTGCATAGGACAAGGGGTGACACGGGTGATGTAGTCATGAGACTGGAGGACTTGGGTGTCTGTGACACCCTGTTTGTCCTGACAGGCTCATAATTGCCAGTGGCTGCTCACTGTGACTCATTTTCTGGGCCATGCACTAATTTCTTATTATTTACTCATTGGCAAAACTGCTGCAGGAATGGGGCTCTGTGGCTCTGTGAAGGATCATGCTGTGGTTGAGGGAACCTTTATTTCTGGATGCTATGGGAGCAGCTGTGTACCCTGTGTGGATCTTAGGTCCTGGCTGGCCCTGGGGAAGTGACAACATGAAAGGGAAAAGCTGTTGCATCTCAGCTGATAAACACTGGCCACCACTTGGTCTTTACAAGGGTCTTGCTCCTACTAGAGCACCACTTGAAAGCTTAGGATTTGCTTTCCAAATAACCTGAGATCTGACAGCAACAGTTCTCAAAATTCTTTCTTCAATCAAAATCACTTTAAATGGGTAGATTTGGGAGTTCTGGAATCTCTTGCTGCTGCACACGTGCCAGCTGCATCTTCTTTGTCCCAGATTTTTATGAGGATTGTGTCTGTTTTCTGGGTCAGAGAATTAAGAGATTTGATGTTATATTAAAAAACCCACACCAAACCACATATGCAAAGTTAAATCCAGTGCAAAACAAAGCAGACATGCAGGGATGAGGGGAAGGAGCTGCTGAAGGACCAGAGTGTTTCAGATGGGAATGAGAAATGCCTTTCATAATGGGTTTGCTCTGGGGGAAGGTCTGACATGGAGTAAATGCCAACATTCACCAAGGAGTGTGGTCTTCAGATGGGATTCTATTTAATTAGCCATGATGATTTAATGGAAAATAACCCGATTAAATCTGAGGAACTTCCATGCATGCAGAAAATTATTCTTCTAAAACTCTAGAGATGACCTACAGCTCCTAGTGACAACAGTCCAAATACAGTGACTTGGGAAGTGGCAGTATATTCAGTATTCTTTTATATATTGTTTTTACAAGAGGGAGTTTCTGCCTGTTTCTGACGGTCAGTGGTCAAGCAGAGTTCTTCACACTGGCTCACGTAATTATTTCATCCTGACAATATTGATCTTTCGAGTGAACAAAAGCAATTTTACCTGTGTCACAGGGCCCTTGCTTGAAGGTGACATACATGTTTAAATTATATTGTCTTGTCATTTAGCAAACCCCGACTGGCATACCTGGTTCAGCTCCCAGCAGATCACCCAGCAGTGCCGGTGTTGCTGTTACATCCTGGGTTTGCTCTGAAATCCAAGTGTGTTCTATGCAGCCTAATACACACATCCTTCTCTAAGGATACAGGACAGAAGTGTTCCTCATCCAAAACAGAAGTGGGAGATAAGTGGACTGCTTTACCCACAGGTTTGTGGAGATTACCTGTCATGCAGCATGGTGGGGGCATTTAACCCCCACACAACTTCCCTAGGGCTCTCATCCAAAACCACCTGGCTCGGGATTTTTTCACTTTCCCCCAAATGCTTTTGGCTGGAGATGGTAGACTACCAAGAGATCAAAAGGAAACTTCAGGAGCTGTTTGCAGACTTCGGGGATTTCACTGTCCATCCAAGGGCTGAGGAAGCAGATCTGAGGATGCTGTTGGGACCAAGGGAGCTGCTGAACCCTGGAGGGGACCTAAATGGGATCAAAAAATGAAAAAGACCAGTGTGTGAGGAAAGGGTTCCCACAGGATCTCCTTTGAGAGGAAAACTTGGAAACACTCTTCTGAGGAAGCATCCACTCAATTGGCAGCTGTAGACTTTCCAAAATGCTGCAAGTTCTAGGCTATGGTGCTTGCTCTTAACTGTCTACATATCAGTCAACCCTTCACAAATATTTGCTTTTCTCTGATAGTGAGATGCTGTCATGCAGAAGTGCTACTCCTGGTAGTGTATTATGGCTGAAGTACATATCAGGAGACAGATTCTCCTGTTTTCCTCAGAATGGAAGCCATGACTTCGGCGAGCTGCTGGGTGACTCTGCTGGGCTCCTCCACAGCTATAATTATCAAAAACCTGGATGACTGCTGACACTAAAGGTGTAACACAAGAAAATGCTCCTTTAGTCTTTCTGTAGCTACTGGGAAGTTTAGTTACAGGATCCCAATGAAAGCACAAGAAGCAAAATGATGGCTGCTAGAGACAATTCCACCATGACTCCAGATCTAATTACCTGCAGCACTGGAGCTGATGTATTTGGTCTTTGGGAAAGGGTGTCAGATCTCACCACTAAGCAAGAAAAAACCAGCAGTCTCATATTTTTCCTGAGTCCACCACATGCTATCTCCTCTGGAGATACTACATCCATTCCACATTAGTCATGTCCTGGCTGGTACTTGGTCAAGGCTGTGTCTTTGACAAGGCTTGTGGTGGGGAGCATGGGAGCCCCCACCAGCCCTTAGGCTTGTTCCCATCTTTTTCCTTGTGTTTACTTTGTCATTTCTGTCCCTCTGTCATGCTCACAGAATCCTTCTGGCACATCTGCCACGGCAGGACAATCTGTGATGATGCTCAAGAAACATTTTTGTCCTTTGATAAACTCTCTGCATTAAGCTGGCTTTTGTTTTTCTTGTTCTCCATTTTGACGGTGCTTGGAAAATTCCCCATTGCTATGTACCAAGCCATGCTATCTCTACCTTTGCATCTTTCATGTCAGAGATGCATTTTCTTTCAAAAGTGAGAGGAAATTGGATTCACAGAAGGGAAATTCCTCATAGACACACCTGTGAAATGGCAACATGCTTTATATAAAGGCACAGCTAAAGAGAGGTAGGTGGTTTGGGATTTTTGCCACATTTTTTTTTATGCTGCAGCAATATATTCTCCAGGTTGGATCAGTGAGACTCCAAAATAAAGAATCTTGCCTGGCCTCAGCTGGCACTGAAGTGTACAGCAATCCAGTCCTTCCTTCCAGGTGGGATGCATGTCACATTTCATGACAGAATGACAGGCCTGTCAGACAATCTGTTGCTGTTTTGGCGTTTCTGATACACCTTGTGCTTTGGTACACACTCAGTGTCCAGAAAGATCAAGATAATTTAGAGGAAATCTACTGTCATGCTCCAGGTTCCTGGTAAGGGCAGTGAAGATTGATTTGAGCAGTGTTCTACACGCTCACCTGGGTTAAAAACTCACCCAAGAAGAAACTGAAATTTTCTTTCTCTGCCTAAAACCACAGCATCAAGTGCCTGATCTGCCAGGTTCTGTGGCACGAGGTGCAGTTCCTGACCAAGCAGCCTCATCACTCCCTGAAAGGCGGCCTGAGGTCTGAGCTCCACGTCTCAGAAGCTTCCTTTGTGAAGGATATCCTGTCCAGAGTGGAGTTAGGAAGCTTTTGTGTGTTTCTCATTCAGATTTTTGTTACTGGGGGGAGGGAACAGGGGGTTATGCTCACTGGTTTATGTCTTCCCAGCAAAATCTTTCCATGGTTTGCCAGGAGCTCAGCACACCCTTCAGACAAAGCTCTTTCTCCAGAGGAGCAGCTCCCGAGGGTTCATGCTCCCTGCCTGGTGTGTGCACGGGGATGTGGAGGTTGGAGGAAGCAGGTGCCAGTGGGAGCTCCTCCCGAATCGCCGAGGAACGCCCGTTCCCCTCCCTGCAGCTCCTCCTTGGCTTTGGCAGAGCTGTTCCAGAAAATCGCTTTTTTTGAGCAAAGAGTGTTTATTTCTGCAATAGCAAACGTCGTGGTGAGTCACGGCTCCAGAGTCGAGATCTCCTGGGAGTTGTGCATCAACTTTCCCTGGGCAGACAAAGCCCTGGGCGTGACCCCGGCCCCGTCTCGTCGGTGTTGTGCCGATGCCCTCTTGTGGAAACTGGAAAAATGTCCGAGAAAATATGCTGGTGCTGGGCTGGGAGCGGTGGTTAGAAGCCCACGCGTGGGAGCAGGGAGAAGTGCTGGGTGCTCCCCTGGGGCTGCACCGTGTCCCCTCCATCTGCAGCCCGAGAGCCTTTGTTGTTGCTGTCAACGGTATTGACACTGTGGGAGATGCTATTAACTGAGCCTGGGGGCAGAGGCTCCCAGGTCTCAAATCCTGCACCTTGTGCACACCTTTGTGCCTCTGCACCTCCTTGCTGTTTTCCTGCAGTAATTCCCATTTTCCCCATAGCAAAGACCTTTATCAACAGAGGTATGAACTTTCTTCTTGAACAAGCATGAGCCTGCCAGGTGTTCCCTGCAGCTGTGAAACAGGCACAGACCCACTGTTGGCCAGCTGCAGCAGCTCTGCCGCTTTTCTTGAGAAGACATCACACTGCTTCGGTCGCATTCCAAAAATGTCAGTGTGTGAATGTACCCAGGGGACCACAGGGCCAATGTGCTGGCTCTCGTCTTCACAGACTCCAGTCCTGAGTCATTTGCAGCAGCTCTGCCTGCAAAGGGTGGTGATGAGTACTGGCTCTGGAGCAAACCTGCAGGTGCCAAGTGGCTTCTGACTCTGCCACCCACCTTTCTCCCAAGTTTTTTTGTAAGAGCTGGCAGAAATGGTGCTATGCTGCATAGGAAAGGCCAGCCCAGCATTGTTAGTCTGTTTTCCACCCTCTGTTCTGGTTTCTCAGCCCTGTGGGACACTGGTGAGCCACGTGCCCGTGTCCCATTGCTGCTGCAGAACAGCCCTGACAGTAGATCTGGCTCTGCTGCCCAGGAGCCCCATTCCATGCACAGCTCTCCTGAGTTCAAGTTCTCCTTATTTTCTCCATGTTTCTCTCCTATTTAATTTATTAATCTATTTTAAAAGCTGCTTTTAAATGTCTGAAGACTTTTAGCTGTCAAAACCGATTTGTCTCCTGCATTTTTCAGACTTGGCAGCCCCTCTCCCTTCCATGCGTTCCTGGAAAGCAGTGGCTACAAAAGCCCATCTGTGCAGGGGAGGTCACCAGTGCCAGCCCAGGAAGGGGCTGAACATCATCAGAGGTGAAAGAGCCAGAGTTCTGGGAACTTTGTGTGGAATTCATCCAGAGTCTCTGCAGTGACTTGCTGTCCCTCCTGCATCGTGCCTGTCTGTGTGATCACAGATAGTAGGTTTTGCTTGCGTGTTTAGAGGAATCAGTTCTTTGGGCAAAAGATATCTGCTTTTTCTTTTGTAGCTCTGCAGTCATCTTTCAGCCTGTAGGTTATCGAGACCAATACTGTGTCTGAACCCTGACAGTCCTGAATTCATTTCCTTTTATGGAGGAACAATAATATATTTCTGATGTTGTAATGAGGGGAATTAAGTGTTGGAAGCCAGATTTATTCAGAGCCAGGCTTGAACTGGGACAAGGAGCTGAGCACACATGCTCAGAGGGGCTCAGAGGTAATTCAGAGCCAAGAGATACAACTGCAGAAATTTAATTAACATTGCAAACCCCTTCAAAGCAATGTTTCTGGCAAAATTGCCAGCTCTTCTGTGCAATGAGTAGGATGCTTGAAGGGCCTCCACACGAATCTGTTACAGAATAACAAATGTTTACCTGGATGGTTGCAAGAACAGCAACCAGAGAAAATCGAAATGGCACGCTCCCCTTCCCCAGGGTAGCCTTGAATGCTAAAGAGCAAACTAATTGGCTGCCAGACACATCCCCAGCACATCACACTGGGATGCTCCAAAGAACTGGAAGTTGCTGGGTAGAAGCTGGGAGTAATGTGTTGGCTTGGACAACCTGGGGAAGGGTGCAGGGTCTCACTGCCATCTGTGGGTGATGAAGCTGGGCTGGTGGGGAGCCCTGAGTATGGACTGGTGCACGTATTTGAATTCCTTTCCCCTTATTCTAAGGCAACTGCAAGCCAAAAGCCTCTCACTAGACTGCTTGGCTGCAATATGAGTGGGCCCTAACACTCTTCTGGGACATGCCCTCTATGCTGGAGCTGCTAATTCAGGACTTTGGGGAGCTGCTAGCAGCACTGGAAAATATTTGGTGCCCTGGTTGAGATGTGGTAGAATGTACTAAATTGCATTGAGTGAATGTATATTTAAGTATTTGTGTAAACCCATGCACATGCATTGACTATTCATGGAGTTTAAGAAAGTCCTTTCCCTGCTCAGGTCTTCGGCTTTCCACCCATTGAAACAGGCTTGCAGTAGCTTTCCATCTTTAGCAAAATCTTATGATTTTATAGAGGAATGAGCACTGGGGGTTATCTCAGGAGCCGGGTGTTTTTTCCTGGCATGGCTCGATTTGCTGTGCCCATCAGCAAGGCAAGGGCAGAGTCAGGGGTGCCTGGACCAGTGGCTAAGCCTGTGTCAGGAAAAGGTGGCTGTTGCCACCCAGTGTAGGGGGCTGACCTTAACCCGAGTAGAAGCAGCCCCGTCAGGTCTGCATGAAGCAGCTGTCATCAGGCAGGTGATGTTCCCAACAGGCGAGCGGAGAAACAGCAAATGGCTTCTTCCATTTGAGAAATGTTTCCTGACACTGCTGGGGAAGTCATCGTACTTCCCCCAGAACCATTTGTCTTCTTATCCTCAGCCTGTTTGCATTCCTGCCACATCCAGCCTTCCCTGGATTTGCACAGCCAGTGGCACCTGGCAGATGCTGCCTGGCCCAGAAGCAAGAAAATGCTCAATCCAGTTCCGTGTGTTCTGTATTTGTCACTGTTGAAAATCCCCTCTGAGTGCAGACACCTGAGAGAAGGTGTCCACAAGGGAGAGGTTGCTGTCTGCACCCTCAAAAACAATGCATTCAGATGCAGTGAGCAGCTCCCTCAATAACACCAGCACAACGTGGCCTTGCTCTGCTGATGTCCCTGACCCAACCCAGTGATCTACACTGGAAGGCCCATTCAGTGTGTGATGCCCTATCTTTAGCAAAAGATGGAAGCCACAGTCAGCTCCAGGCAGTTTTGCCTAGGAATGGATAATTTTTCCTCATTGTCAGTTAAAACAGATTTCAGCCATTTAAAAATTGTTTAAAAAAAAAGGGAAAAATGAGGCAATAAACAGTCTTCAAATGACCGAATAGCAGGACCTCACAAACAAGATCAAGTGAGTTGGAGGAATCTGTAATTTTGATGTTGAAGGAAATGCCTTTTCCTGGATTTATTTCTCCTGTAAAGGGTGAAGGATGAAGTTGTTTCCAAACAGCACAGGGCCTGCTTTCCTGCAGAGTGGAAGCTGTGATGCCAGTACCTGTGCAGAAGGCAGAAGGCAGCAGGGAAAGGCAGAAGGTAGCCAAAGCATCTGGGAAGAAAGGGTTGGATCCAGAGGGTTGGTGGTTCAAAAGAGGCAGAAGTGAGTGGGTCCAAAGCCCGAAGACATCACTCTCAATTTCCTTGAGCTTTGTTACTGGAAGAGCAGAGAGTGGCAATGATAGAAAGCCAAGCTGAGGTAGAACTCACCTCAGAGAAGGTCTGATAGGGACCATCACTGTTTGGGAAATCCTGGTGCATTGGAAACTATTAGCTTTATTATTATTATTTTCTCTCCTCTCTGTTCCTTGATTTGGTTTGGCATTTTCCAAACCATTACCATGCAGGTGGAGAGAGTGGGGGGACTGTATTTCACATTTCATAATCTGTGCTACTTGATTAATTCGGCTATATGTTCAAAGCTCATAAAACTGGCCAATTTTGCTGAGGTTTAAAATAGATTGTATCCATCTCCTACATTCGGTTTTGTAAATAACCACTTGTTGGCTTCTTGAAGTGTTACAGATAGAGAACAGGCTGTGCACTGCCAAGGAGAAGTCATATTTAAAAGATAATATGTCTTCTGCATGAGCTCAAATGAGGAAATAGATGCTTGTGAAGCTCTTTAAAGCATGGTTATGTCAAGAGCAAGAAGATGACTTTTGTTTTTCATTTTTATGCAAGGTGAAGAAAGGACGAGACTTTTTTTCCCCCTCCTCTGAATTCTTGCAATCTTCCACCATAGAAATTGGTGATAATTGCTGCAAAATGACCCAACCGGGTCAAGGTGTAATTTTGAATCTTGAGTATCTTTCACTCTGTGAGCAATTTGAATGATTTGACTTTAACACCCTGGCAACCCATCACTGGAACAAATAGAAATCTGGTGAGCAGATGCCAGTGCAGAGCAGCATCGGTCCAGGCAGTGGGAAAGCTGTTCCTTTTCTTCTCCCACTTCTTTCTGTGAGATTTTCTTAGGTTTGAAGAAAGAAAGGGTGAGTTTTGAGTTGCAGGGTGAAGATGAACTTTGAATAGTAAGGTGAGAGTCCTCAGACTGCAGTGGTATGTGGGAGTGGGACAGAGCACAGCAGCCCGTGACCCTGGCACCAGCCACAGCCCTGGGGCTGGGAGGGTGTGCTGTGGAGGAGGAGGAGATTTCCTGTTGTACATGTGCAGTCCCTAGTGTCCCTGCTTGTAACTCCTGCTTTGCCAACCACCTCCCTGGGACAGAAGAAACGCCTGTTTAATTACTGCGGCTTTGATTTTAACAGCACAAATTTCCCTTGCTGCCTTCTAACCTTCACGGTTTAGTGCCAGCAAAGATAAAGCCCCTTTGCAGAGGCTGTTCCTGTTTGCTCCCACACCAGATAAAAGCCGGGAGAGGAGCAGAGAGTGATGCCTGCCATAGCCATGGGACCTTTGCCTGAAAGTCCTGAGGATTCCAAACCCAGGAGTTAACCCAGCCTGCAGCAACACCTCCTAGTTATATATAAATGGGGCTGGAAAGATGGAGGCTTTGATTTGGGATAGCTTTCGCAAAACTAGCCAGCCCTTTGCTTTTTGGGGTGGAGAGAAGTATTCAGCAGGTAGATGCAGAGCCTGCCCACAGCACCTAGAGCAGGATCCTGCCTGCAGAATGCAGAATTGGGCCACCACGGAGAAGGCTGGCACAGGCAGTGCCAGGGTGATCCCAGAGCATTTCCCCTTACCCACATTAGCAAATGCTCTGGGTTTGTCTTTGGGAGGGATTTGGAGGAAACTCATCATCCAGGTGGTCATTCAGGTGAAGTTTTGCCTGCAGTTCATTTGACACTATTAGCTGTTATTATTAGCTATTATTAAATGTTTTGTTACCATGTTGCAGTACC